TTTTTTTGACTAAGGTATATCTCGTCTCAGTTTCACCTTTCACTACCTACCTACCACTACTCCTAAGCCTATAGAGGGGACCCCTACAAGCATAGGTACCTCTCACAATCAAGGGGATGCATGTTGTCCTGGTCAGGGAGTAGTTTGGGGCCACCACCGGGAGAGAGCCTGCTAACGCAAAGACGGAGCATTTTGCCAGTAGCTGCGCCTCCCATCTACTACCTCCACCCCCATTGAGTAACAGCAGTGCCTATTGCCACCACTCTCCCACACACCACACACAACGTACACACACACACACACACACACACATACACACACACACACACACACACACACACACACACAGCACTCTCCCACACACCACACACAACGTACAGACATGCACACACACACACACACACACACACACACACACACACACACACACGCACAGAGAGCACTCTCCCACGCACCACACACAACGTACAGACATGCACACACACACACACACACACACACACATGAATCCCATGATGGCCAAAGACCCTACCAATACCGACCCGGGGGAGCAAGCCAACTTTCTAGTTGCTCCCCGAACTATCTTGCTTGGTTGGTTGGCACCAAGTGTCCCTCGCCGGTCAGTGGGGATTGAACCCACGACCTCCTGAGTGGTACCATTAAACCCACCACCTCATGAATGCCACTCCCGTGCCTAACCAACTGAGCTAGGGCGGATCTTTTAAAAAAGTATTCTTAGGGAGGACCCAACTGGACTCTGATGCGTTTTTTTTTTTAAGGGATAATTTGCGAAGCACCGCTATAAGTTGAGATGTATGCGAAAATGCCCCTCAAAAGATGTGGGTAGGGCGAAATGCCCTTTTGGGCAGAAATCTTTGTGTTGTGCCCCTGTCAGGCGCATGTGCATCTTTGCAATCTGGACCTACCCATTTGGGCCTTGGCCCTTTTGCAATAGCGCCCAGGAAAAGCTGGCAAGTACAGGGGCATTTTGCAAAGTTGGACGGTACCCGGCAGGGGCTTATTGCGAAGATGGGGGTCCATCCGACGCCAGGGGTATTTCACAAAGGTTTTTTTTTTTTTTTGTCAGAGACTCAGAGGGTTATTCCGCTCTATCCACATATTTTAGGGGCATTTTCCCATCTATCTCAACGTATGGGGCTATTTTGCAAATTATCCCTTTCTTTTTCTTTAAAAAAAAAAAGAAAAAAAAAAGAGAAAAACCTCTTTGTTTCACTGTAGACCTATTCCTAAGCTCCTGCCTACTCGTCTAACTCGATGACCGGGCTCGACGACCGGGGTCGATGACCGGGCTAAAGGATGACACATATAAGTAGGGAAATGGTAAAAAACACAAAGAAAAAAAAAAGAAAAAGAAAAAAGCGGGTTTCTTTCTTTATTAGTGAATATACGTCTATGTGGAATGTACTTGAGTGAGGAAAAAAAAAAAAAAAAAAGAAAGTCAAGGGGAGCTATGTTGGAAGCAGAGCAACTCTGGCTATATTTTCAGTTTGTGATGCTACCCCTGGCTGCTTCCGGGCAGCAACCCCTGGGGCGTGGTCCCACTAGCAAAGAGGATCGGGTCGAATGCCTGAATCTGGACGAGTGTATGGAGATGTGCAGGAAATCCAGATTGAACTGCTTTTTTGCATCTCTGCTTAAAACACATCCAGATTCAGGAGCTCGATCCTATCCTTTTTGCTAGTGGGACCTCGGCCCTGGTTGACCCCTGGCCGATGTCGCCACCCTAATAGGAGCATCCTCAAAACGAAACGAAAAAAAAAAAAAAAACGGATTTATCTCTTTATTATACGTCTGTATGGAATATACTTGAGTTTGCTTGTATATATATAAAACTCCGACGAAACAGTTTGTCACAGCCCCTCGTCTGTCGTCCTCTTCTCTCTCTCTGCCTACGGTTTACCGGGCAGTTCTGTTTGTGACGATATATATGATGATATATATATATATTGAGTCAGAAAAAAAAGAAAGTCAAGGAGAGCTATGTTGGAAGCAGAGCACTGGCAATATGCGCGGTTCCTGATGCACCCCTGCCTGTCATTGGCCAGGAACCCCTGGCTGCCTCCCTGGCCGATGTCACTACCCTAATAGGAGCATCTGCACACCTCGTTCACAAGCCTCATGGCCGCTAAGCCCCCCCCCTGATGGTATTAAGGGCACCCTGGCCTGGGCTGTAAAGGCCACCCTGTCAGATCAGACAGAACATTGGTTGGGATTCATTCACTTTGGAATTCAACTGGGCTAGCTAGTCCGATGATGATATCCTAAGGCCGCCTTTTTTTTTCTTTCAACATACCACTGTTGATGCCGGGGAGCTGATAAGAGCAGACCCCTCTAGCATTCCCAGGCAGGCTCCATCTATTGGTGGGGAGCTTCACCTGCTTGAAAACGGCTCCAGCGTCCCATTTACATTGACCTTGTTGGTTAAACCACCAGCACCTACCGGTTGGCGGCCGTTAACGCGGAAGCCGAATCGGCCTGCCCCTCCAGTCCAAATTCATTCAAGGCCAGGGGGTACGAAAAATGTGTAGGTACTGGTGGTTTAATGAGCCTGTAACACTGTGATGACTGCTATCGCCCTTCAAACCGCAAGTACGCAGCCCCATCCTTGCAGAAAGTTTTTGTCGCCACAAGCAAAACTCGGAGGCGCTGCGCGGCATGGGGCGCAGTTGAAAAAAAAAATATCGGTGGCCTCCGAAGTGGTGTGGGTTTCGTGCTGACCCCTGCGGGCCGATGTGTGGGGTACTGGTGGTGCTTTAAACCACCGGGACGTTTCCCAGCTATAGAATCAAAGTTGTGGTGTGCATGCTGCCGCAACTCTCAGGAAGTACTGGGGTGCCATTTTGCCTGGATGGATGTCAAGCAAAAAGGTGCCCCGGTACATCCCGAAAGTGGTTGCAGCATACACGCCCCAACTTTGATTTTCTAGCTGGGAAATGTGCTGGTGGTTGAAAAAAAAAAAAAACACTACTCGGACTCTCTGGGAGCGTCCCAGTTTTGCCCTCCGTAATCTTAAACCACCAGTACCTGGTCCAGCTATCGGCCGCTGGCCTTCCCGTGTACGCGCCGCAGCCTTAGGGTGGTCGGCCAAGGGAAGGCCCGGTCGTTGCTGAATGGCTGGGCTCCGTGCTTCCAGGAATGACACACACTGGAAAAAAGCAAAACGAACGATAGCAAAAAATTAAAGCAAAAAAAAAAAAAACGCTCAAAAA